GAGCCTGATATGGGGCTCGATCCCAGGATCCTGGGATCATGACCTGAGCTGAAGGCAGACGCTTAAGGACTGAGCCATCCAGGCGCCCCAACAGTTTGGAGGTTTTATATGGAATGCCAAATCACATCCAAATAGTGACAATTTGGTTATCTCTCCTCCCTTTCCTTATATACATATTTATATACAGATTTATAAAGACTATATGTATATCCATAGTAATATTTATAATAGCTTGTTGCAATGGCTAAGACCCCCAGGAGTGAATAGTGATGGTGAAGGAGGCCAGCTGTGTCTGTTTACTAGTCTTATTTTTTTTTAAGATTTTATTTATTCATTTGCCAGAGAGAGAGAGAGAGTGCACAAGCAGGTGGAGCGGCAGGCAGAGGAAGAAGCAGGCTCCCTGCTGAACAAGGAGCGCGATGCTGGACTCGATCCCAGGACCTTGGGATCATGACCTGAGCTGAAGGCAGACGCTTAACCGACTGAACCACCCAGGCGTCCCTGCTTACTGGTCTTAAAGGGAATGAGCTTAAGGTTCTATATTAAGTGTGAAGTTTTTGATAGATTAGTCTTTATCAAATTATGGAAGTTCCTTTCTATCCCTGGTTTTCTGGGAACTTTTATCATAAGTAGGTGTTGAATTTTATCAATTTTTTTTAAATCTGTGGGGGCGACCATGTGACTTTCCTACTTTATTCCATAATATAGTGCATTACATTGTTACCTTTCCGATGCTTATTAAAACCTACTCGATGCCATTTTATTTGTAGCAAATTATTTGTATTTTCTTATCTAATATATTATTTAGGAATTGTGTGTGCATTTAGAAAGTAAAATGGGTCTCTAATATTCTTTCCCCATATTGTCCTTATTCAGTTGAGGAATCAAGGATATACCAGCTTCATGAAATGAATTTCTTTTCCTTTTCTCTGTAATAATTTGTATATGGCAGGTGTTATTTGTTCTTTGAAAGTTTGGTAGAACCCCCCCTGGTGAACTTTCCGGGGCTTCTTTTAATTAAAATTTCTGGTTCTTTCATGGTCTTTCATTGGTCTATTCAAAGGCTGTTGCCTCTTTTTTTTTAAATATTGGCATTTTCTATTCTTACAGGAATCCGTCCATTTTGTCAACATTTTAAAATGTATTGGTTTAGGGGTGCCTGGGTAGCTCAGTTGGTTAAGCATCTGACTCTTGATTTCAGCTCAGGTCATGATTTCAGGATTGTGAGATCAGGCTCCCTGCGGGGTGTGGGGCCTGCTTAAGATTCTCTCTCTTCCTCTCCCTCTGCCCCTCCCCGCCCCCACTTGTGCACTCTCTTAAAAAAAACAATGTATTGGTTTATAGAGTTTGAATTTTTGTTTTATTACTCTAAAAATATTTATATCTGTAGTTCTTTCTCCCTTTTCACTATGAATTACATTTTTATTTGGCATCTTTCTTTTTTCTCTCCAACAGCTTTGCCTGGAGCATTTCAAATAGCCAACTTCTGTTTTTTTGTTAATTTTCCCTGATTTTTCTACTTTATTTCCGCCTGAAAGCATTTTTCTTGTTTTTTGGATTTTCTCTATTGTTTCATATGTAATTTCTTTTTCTTTTTCTTTTTTTTAAGATTTTATATTTATTTATTTGAGAGAGCGAGCACAAGCAGCGGGAGTGGCAGGCAGAGGGAGAAGCAGACTCCCCGCTGAGCAGGGAGCCCGATGCTTGGCTCGTTCCCAGGACCCCGGGATCATGACCTGAGCAGAAGTCAGAGGCTTAACGACTGAGCCACCCAGGTGCCCCGGTTTTCAATCTTCTTTGATAAAAATGTTGAAAGCTAGGGCGCCTGGGTGGCTCAGTCCCTTAAGCAACTGCCTTCGGCTCAGGTCATGATCCCAGAGTCCTGGGATCGAGCCCCGCATCGGGTTCCTTGCTCCGCGGGAAGCCTGCTTCTCCCTCTCCCACTCCCCCTGCTTGTGTTCCCTCTCTCGCTGTGTTTCTCTCTGTCAAATAAATAAATAAAATCTTTAAAAAAAAGTGTTGAAAGCTAGAATTACCCTCAAACACTGCTTTTGGTCATGCTTTTATTGCCATCCAGTTATAAGGATTTCTTTCTTTGATATTTTATTTTTTTAACTCGAGAGTTATTTGTATTATATTATTTAAGTTTGGGGGGCTTCTATATTTTTGATTTTTAGAGCTGTCTGAATTAGAGTTTGGACTGAGGTAGAACAAAGGGAAGCTAGAACAGAATGCCTCCGAAGACATTCATTTCACAAAAAAAGCCCCAGAGTGGGTAGGCGGCTCCCCCGCAAGAGGTCATAGGTCCTACCTTTTGTATCGCCCTGCTCTGAGCATCATCCTGACTTACATGGCTGAAGCCATCCCCCTGTCACCAAATTCATGTCCTAGTGTATGAGAAGACAGAACTCAAAGTAAGGAGCCATTAGCTTCCTTTTAAGGACATGACCCAGAAGACACCCACCTTCCTTCTGTTCATATCCAATTGGCCAAAATTTAGGTATATGGCTCCAGGTGGCAGTTTGGAGGCAACCGGGGTTTGGTAAGAAAAACAGAAATTGGGGCGCCTGGGTGGCTCAGTTGGTTAAGCAACTGCCTTCGGCTCAGGTCATGATCCTGGAGTCCCGGGATCGAGTCCCGCGTCGGACTCCCTGCTCAGTGCGGAGTCTGCTTCTCCCTCTGATCCTCCCCCTCTCATGCTCTCTGTCTCCCATTCTCTCTCTCAGATAAATAAATAAAAAATCTTAAAAAAAAAAAAAAAGAAAAAGAAAAACAGAAATTGAACCAGTAATGTGAACAGTCTACAAGCCAAGGAGAGAGGCCTCAGCAGAAACCAAACCCGCCAACACCTCCATCTTGGTTGCATAGCCTCCAGAACCGTGAGAAAGTTCATTTCTGTTGCTGTTTGAGCCCCTCGGTCTGTGGTACTTTGTCACGGCAGCCCCGGTAAACTAATACCATCTCCAGTGCTATAATTTCAGACCCGTGTTAGCCCTAGAAGGAGGAACTAGGCCTTGACACGGAAGCCTTTCCAAAGCTGTTCACATCACACCCATAACACAGCCTGGTTTGGCAGCCGGATTTAACAAGCCCGGGCCTGGGACATGTCTCACGGATGCCTCAGGATGTTTCTTCCTTCAGAGTGTCATTCACGTCCTTCTGCTCAGGAACGAATCTGAGGACAAGCAACATTTTGGTGAGGCTCCGGCCTCTTCCAGCTGCCTTGGCTGGGAGGACCTGTGGGACGCACTGGGAAGGACTGGGGGAGAGGTGAGAACAGCAGGGCTGAGGATGAGGGAGGAGAGAAAGAAGCACGCTCTCAGTCATGGAACCAGATTTCTTTCAATAGGTGTGGGGGAGGAAGGCACTTTATGAGGTCTAGAAACATAGAGGGAAAGGCAGGAAGGGAATGGTGTATGGTGAGTTCAGGACTAGGGGATCCAGAGTTGGTACAAGTGTCCCAGCCTCTTCTGCCTCTTGATTAAGTCAGGAGGCTAATTTCCTCCTAGCTCATTGCAGCTGTCAACCTTGATCATTTCCTTCCCTCGGTCTCTATGTATGACAAGTTCATTGTGTCACTGAAAAAATATTTACTGAGCATGAGCCCTGTGCTGACATGTAGCTGTGGTGCAGACAGCCCCTGTCTTCATGCTGGTCCAGTCTGGGTGGGCAGGAGGGGCACTGAGCAAGCGCCATGGGGTGTGCTGAGTGTTTCACAGGGGGCAATAGGGGGCACTGCAGGAGCACTCGCACAGAAAGAATACTGGATCTGAAGGCCTCAGTGAGGAAGTTGAGACCTGAGAGATGAAGGGGGTTAGGGTGGGAGGAGAGAGTTCCAGGCAAAGAGAACTATGCTGTGAAAACCATAAAGTAATTCAAGTGTCGGTGCATGACACCGAAGAAGCCCAGGGGCTGGACTGTGTAGTGACCAGGATGGTGGCCAGGGCCTGAGGCAGCAGGCGGGAGCCTGCTGGGAAGAGCTTTCTAGGAAAAGGTAAGGATTTTAGACTCTTCCCGAAGGCCAGTGGGAAACTATGGAAGGATTTAAGCGGTGTGACTGGATCTACCCTGTTTGTTGGGTAGATGGTGGATTAATTGCAGAGCAAGCTGCAGCAGTAGTTCAGGCAAGAAATGATGGTGGCTTGGAGGAGGGTAGCTTCTGTGGGGACTGAGAGAAGTGACAGAGAACCTCTGGAACATTCTAAAGGATCTGATAGGGGGTGAAGGAGAGGGGAGAGCTAAGTGTGACACTCAGATTTCTCGGGTGAGACTGTGAAGAGCTGGAAGACAAGAGGGTCTAGACATCACTCTACAAGGTCTGTCAAGGGGAAGCAGGATTTTTTTTTTTTTTTTTTTTTAATACGAGTATCGGGGCACCAGGGTGGCTCAGTCGGTTAAGCGTCTGACTTTGGCTCAGGTCATGATCTCATGGTCTTGGGATTGAGCCCCAAATTGGGCTCTGCCCAGTCTGCTTCTGCCTTTCCCTCTGCCCCTCCCTCCCACTCATGAGCAATGCTCTCTCTCCCTCTCAAATAAATAATTAAAATCTTTAAAAATAGGAGTAGGAAGAAGGATTAATAATATCTGGAAACACTACTGGGGTGCCAATACAATGGCGTATGGTATTATTGTTCACGATATTTGCTGTCTCTCCTGAAGGATGCCCAGTTATCAGGCTTGGCCATATGACTTACTTTAGCCAGTGAAATATGAACACAAATGGGGGCGCCTGGGTGGCTCAGTTGTTTAAGCGACTGCCTTCGGCTCAGGTCATGATCCTGGAGTCCCGGGATCAAGTCCCGCATCGGGCTCCCTGCTCGGCGGGGAGTCTGCCTCTCCCTCTGACACTCCCCCTCTCATGCTCTCTCTCTGTCACTATCTCTCTCAATAAATAAATAAAAATCTTAAAAAAAATATGAACGCAAATGACGTGCATCTTTTCTGAGCAGAAGCTTCAAGAGCTAGCTCACGGTGGCCCATGTGTCTTTTCTCTCTGCCAGGCTATTGCAATGTTTCGGAGGCTCCTGTGAATGAAGAGACTGGGTCCATGCACAAAGGTGTGGAGCAGAGCCCAGCCACCCCACGTTGGACAAGGGGACATGGGTGAGTCTCTACCTTTATATGTGTGAACCACTGGGGTTTGGGCTCATTTGTTTCTGTGGTATATGCAGACCACCCCTCTCCTCTTCTAGACCTTGAGCTGTTTGGTGAGTTGGGGGAGTGGAGAGCCTTCAGTTAGGACTGTGGGGATATCTCCAGGGAAGGAGCTGGTTTTAGTTAGGGTAATAGTCGGAGGGAATATTCAGGGAGTGGTTTGCAGGGGTCAGGGTGGAAGAGTTTGGGAAGGATGAAGGAGGGAGGAGACAGGTAGAGCAAAAGACAACACAGAGAACAACAGAGATGAGAGAAGGAACCCGGGATGATGAGAGGGGCCTGTATTGGGGGGGATTCCCAAGGAAAGCAAAGACAGGAACCATGATGAATTTGGTCATGGCATCCTGGGAGGGCGTTGGGTTCTGAGGCTCAGAAGCACATAGTACTATGAAAACAGCCCCTCAGTAACCACCCCCCGCCCCCGCCGTCCCATGATGAGACTCTTCTGGCCTGAGTTGTTCATCAGTCAACCCTGAATGCCAGCTATCTGTGGGATAAATGAATTAATGAAACTTATGGATCCGTGGTCAAATCTCTTCCATCAGCAAAGGGTGCCTCTCAAGTCTGTAGACCAAGGTTGACCAAGGGCAAGTTACCCAACCTCTCTGACCTTGGTTTCCTTAGCTCTAAAATGGGATAATAATAGTTCTCTAACTCATGGGGCTGTTCTCAGAACTAAATGAGATGCTGGACAGCCATCCAGATTTTTGGCAATTGTTTTGTCCTAATTTTCGTAATGACATCTGTGCCCAGTGCAGACAAATATGTCACTCCTCTCTGCTAGAATGCCACCCATCCCCCCCAACCTTTCTGCCCCCAGCCTTAGCAGAGAGGAAAAGCGACTTGTCCAAAGACCCTCTAGGCAGATTGAAGACCCAACCCAGGGCTTTCCTTACTATACTTGAACAAATCACCACAATCTTAGAGGCTTACAGCAACACAAATTTATTATCTTTTAGTTCGAGAAGTCAGAAATCTGAAAGGTGTCTCCCTGGGCTAGAACACAGGGCTGCATCCCTTCTGGAAACTTGAGGGAATTGAAATCCATTTCCTTGCCTTTTCTAGCTTCTGTATTCCTCGGCTCGTGGTCCCTTCCTCCATCCTCGGAGCTGGCAATGGCACCACCTCCACACCCCCTTCTGAACCTCGTGCCTCCCTCTTTCACTTATAAGGACCCTGGTGATTACATTGGGTCCACTTGGATAATCCAGGATGATCTTCTCAACTGAAAATCCTTAATCCTTCATCACATCTGCAAGGTTCCTTTCGCCAGGAAAGATAATCCATTGCCAGGTTCCAGGGATTAGGACATGGGCATTTTTGGGGGGCCATGATTTTGCCTAGCACAGAGGGCAAGTTGGAAATTGGCTCTCAAGCCTCAGAGACTCTTTACATCCCTCCCAGTCTCCCCAGCTATGTGCTGATCTCATCTTTCTTTCCCTCTTTTTCTCATTTATTTCTGGCCCTACAGTTCATTTTTCTAAAAAAAAGATTTTATTTATTTATTTGAGAGAAAGAGCACAAGCCGGGGAGAAGCAGAGACAGAATCTCAAGCAGACTCTGCACTGAGCGCGGGACCCAATGCGGGGCTTGATCCCACAACCCATGAGATCATGACCTGAGCTAAAACCAAGAGCCAGATGTTCATCCCACTAAGCCACCTAGGCGCCCCTACAGCTAATTTTAAAACAGATACATCAGCTAGAGGCATTTGCTCCAAATTCCCTAATCCTTATGAATGGTGGTCCAGATCAAGGTCCCCTTTGATTCCCAAATGAGCTTGATCAGACATGGTCTCTGGGTGGACCCTAGTCTAGAAGAGCACAGTCCAAGAGAAATTGAATGTGAGCTACCACAATGTAAGTCACATATGTGATTTCAAAATTTCTAGGAGTCTCATAAAAAAAGGTAAAAAGAAATAAATAGAATTAATGTTATTTTATTTATTTATTTATTTATTTATAAAGATTTTTATTTATTTATTTGACAGAGAGAGACACAGCGAGAGAGGGAACACAAGCAGGGGGAGTGGGAGAGGGAGAAGCAGGCTCTCCGCTGAGCAAGGAGCCCGATGCGGGGCTCGATCCCAGGACCCTGGGATCATGACCTGAGCCAAAGGCAGACGCTTAACCGACTGAGCCACCCAGGCGCCCCGGAATTAATTTTAATAATATACTTTTTATTTAAGCAAATATAATGGAAACACCATTTCAGATGCCTCCAATATAAAAATTAGTAATGAGATAGTTTATATTAAGCCTTTGAAATCTGTTGTGTATTTTATACTTTAGCACGTCTCTGTTCAGACTGGCCAACTGTGCTGGTGGCTACCATGTTGGATGGTAATGGGCCTAGAACAAAAGCTCTGCAAGGGCCCCCAGGGCCTAGTGCAATCCCTGGCACACTAGGCCTTCAGATCTGTTAAATGCAGGGATTGAAGGCTTAGGTTCTTTTCCATAGCCCTGGACAGCTGACCCAGGGAAGGAAGGAAGCAAGGAAGAGGAGGGTCCCTTGTATCTAATTTGCATAATCCCTCCTAGGCATTTACTCTTCCAGCAGTTTCTCTCTGCTGGTTCACACTGGGTCTACTCTTTTTTTTTTTTTTTTTTTAAGATTTTATTTATTTATTTGACAGAGAGAGAGATAGCGAGAGCAGGAACACAAGCAGGGGGAGTGGGAGAGGGAGAAGCAGGCTTCCCACCCAGCAGGGAGCCCGATGTGAGGCTCGATCCCAGGACCCTGGGATCATGACCTGAGCCGAAGGCAGACGCTTAAGGACTGAGCCACCCAGGCGCCCCTCACTGGGTCTACTCTTACCTGGACAACCTTGAAGAATGCACTGTTGAGCTGTGCTCAGTGCTTAGTCCTACTTGGAAGGTAAAGGACAGAAAGGAGCCAATTCCCTGGGGACCTCTGGAGGTGGGTGGGTCAAGAAGAATGTCCCCAAACCTGTATTACCCAAGGCCCTCGTGATCTGGTCCTGATCCCTACTCACCTCCTGCCTTATCACCTCGTTAGGGACTGAACCGTGTCCGCCCCTTCCCCTCAAATCTGTGTGGATGTCCTAACCTCCAGTGTGACTGAATTTGGAGATGGGGCCTTTAGGGAGGTCATTAAGGTTAAATGAGGCCGTAAGGGTAGAGCCCTAATCCCATGGGACTGCTGTCCTTGTAAGAAGAGGAAGAGACACCCAGGATGCACACACACCCAGAAAAGGCCATGTGAGGACACAGGGAAGCCATCTTCGAGCTGAGGAGAGAGGCCTCAAGAGAAGCCAGCCCTGCTGACGTCTTGATCTTGGACTTCTAGCCTCTAGAACTGTGGGGACAGTAAATGTCTGTTGTCTGAGCCCCCCGGTCTGTGGTGTTCTGTTGTGGCAACAGCAACAGTCAACTAACACAAGCTCTGGCCCTACACACCTGTCCTTCAGCAAGTTAAACACAGAATTGCCACTTCACTCAGCAATGCCATTGTGAAGTAAATGCCCAAGAGAACTGAACAGACGTTCACACAAAAACCTGTACACGAACGTTCACAGCAGCATTATTTGTAGTGGTCAGAAAGTGGAAACAGGGGCGCCTGGGTGGCTCAGTCAGTTAAGCGTCCAATGCTTGATTTCGGCTCAGGTCATGATCTCAGGGTTGTGAGATCGAGCCCCACGTCGGGCTCCACGCTGGGCGTGGAACCTACTTGAGATTCTCTCTCTCCCTCTCCCTCTGGCCCTCCCACCCCTGCTCTCTCTCTCCCTCTCAAAAAAAAAAAAAAAAAAGTGAGAACAACCCAAATGTTCATCAACTGATGAATGGATAAACAGAATGTGGGATAAAATGAAATATTATTCAGCCACGGAAAGGAATGAGGTTCTGAGACATGCTATCATGTGGCTGAACCTTGACAACATTATGCTTGCTGAACGAAATTAGACATAAAAGTACAAATACTGCTATCATTCTGTTTACATGAAATGTCCGGAAGAGGCAGATCGGAAGAGACAGAAAGTGGATTCGTGGCTGTCAGGGGCCGAGGGAAGAGGGGAGTGGGGAGTGACTGCTAATGGGGTTGGGGTTTCTTTTGGGGGTGGTGAAAATCTTCTGGTCATGGGTGCAGCACATTGAGAATGTGCTGAAACCACTGACTTATACCTTGAAAATGCTAAATTTGATGGCATGCAAGGGACATCTCAGTTTTAAGAACCTCATGCTGCCATATTGGATTTCCTTCCACTCCTTGATTCTGCTGTCTCACTTCACCTCTGAAACTGCACCTGTAGTTCATTTTACTCAGAAAAAAAGGCTTCATCACCACTTCCTTTTTCCCCCCTACTGGTAAAATTCAAGCTCTACAGTGTCCAGGAAGAGAGAGCTTTGCGGGTGAGAGTTGTCATATTGTCTGCATTGACTTTAAGATACTTCCACACATTCTGAGGAGCAGAGCTGGGGTTGAGGATGGGCAGGGCAGGGCAGGGGGGTGGGGTGGGGGATTGTTGTCATTACAAACCCTATGTAGATACATTTATTTTATTCATTTTTATTATCATTTTTAAAGATTTTATTTTTTTTAAAGATTTTATTTATTTATTTGACAGAGAGAAACACACCGAGAGAGGGAACACAAGCAGGGGGAGTGGGAGAGGGAGAAGCAGGCTTCCCACGGAGCAGGGAGCCGATGTGGGGCTTGATCCCAGGACCCTGGGAGCATGACCTTGATCCCAGGACCCTGGGATCATGTGACCTGAGCCCAAGGCAGACGCTTAACGACTGAGCCACCCAGGTGCCCCTTAAAGATTTTATTTTTAAGTAATCTCCACACCCAATGTGGGGCTTGAACCCACAACCCCAAGATCAAGAGTCGCACGCTCTTCCGACTGAGTCAGCTGGGTGCCCCTATATTTTTTATTTTATTTTATTTTATTTATATTTTTTATTTTAAAAGAAAGAAGAGTGTTGCCAAGACGGTTATTAAAAATCTGAAAGAGGGCACCTGGGTGGCTCAGTTGGTTAAGCGACTGCCTTCGGCTCAGGTCATGATCCTGGAGTCTCGGGATCGAGTCCCGCATCGGGCTCCCAGCTCAGCAGGGAGTCTGCTTCTCCCTCTGACCCTCCTCCCTCTCATGTGCTCTCTCTCATTCTCTCTCTCTCAAATAAATAAATAAAATCTTTAAAAAAAATCTGAAAGAAAAACAAAAGACACCTGGGACAGAGTGATGGCTATGTGGATGTTCTGTTTGGATCTACACTGCACGTGGGATTATCATTTGAAAGATCCTAATCACAGGGCCACGCTCCAGAGGTGGCTACTGTGGGCATTTAACGATCTTTCTCTCCAGCAATACAGAGGGTCTTTGAATTAGTGTAACAGATGTTAGAACTGCTTTCACTTTAGCAAGATGAGCGATAGTCAAGAGGTAGCCTGGGTAGACAACACTAAGGAGGCTCGAGTCCTGTGAGTCAAGGAGCCTCGCCTCTTGGCAATGGCACCATAGCCTTGGAGTTTCCGGACCCTGCACCCCCTGGTCTGGGGGTTGCTGCCCCCCGATCGTGATGAGATTGGCTGACCTATGACTAGCAAACAGTTTCATCTGTTTCCAGGGAACCTTCCATACAATGAACGTGCCTCGCGTGGCAGAACCTGGGCCTCACTGATTGTACGGAGGAGGTTGTATGGCTGTTGTATTGTGGGTCTGCTAATCGGTGTTTATATAGTGACAGCACTCGGACAAGCCTTGTTTTGAGGAGACACGCTCCCTGGCAGTGAGTTGTGGGATGGAGACCTAGTGCTCTCAATGACTGGGTGACTGAGATCTCTCATGACTCATGACTTTCAAGCTGGCTGTGAGGGATGAATTGTGCCCTTCTCCTCCCCTCCCCCTCTCCCCCCAACACAACGCATGTGTTGAAGCCAAACCCCCAGTTCCTCAGCGTGTGGAAGAGAGGTCTTTACAGAGGTATCAAGTTAGATTGAGGTCATTAGGGTGGCCCCAACCCAGTAGGGCTGGTGTCCTTATAAGAAGAGGAGATTTGGACGCAGGTACACATAGCGGGAAGACGATGTGAAGAGGCAGAAGATTCTGGAACAGATCCTTCCCTCTCAGCCCTCAGAAGGAACCAGCCCTCCTGGCACCTTGATTTTGGACTTGTAGCTTCCAGAACTGTGAGGCAATATGTTTCTGTTGTGTAAGCCTCCCGGTCTATGGTCCTTTGTGACAGTGGCCCCAGCAAACTAATGAGATAAACTGGCTCAGGTGCGTTTGTAGCCAGGTGACATCCGCCGGCTGTGGTCCCTGGGTTAGTGACTCTCCCGTCACCCAAGAACCGCTCCTTCTTCCTTAGTCCCTGTCCTCACCAGGGTGGTGCTGGAGCAGGTGACAGCAGGCTTCTTTTATTACAAAGGCACTGTGACCTCTGTCACTACCAGGTCTCTGAGAGTTCAGGGCCACCCCCAAAGGCATGAGCTGAGCCACAGCCACCCTGTGGTACCTGCTGTCCTGTGGGGGCAGGGCCCTACCCTCATGCAACCTTGCAGCTGCCTGCCTGGGGACACGGATGCAGGAAGCACTGCAACCAGCAGGCCCTGGGCAGTTGGCTGGAAACCCAGAGGGGTGACCCTGCCTTTGAGTGGCGTTTGCCGTGATGAAACCCGAGGCCAGCACTTAACCCCGCTTAATTAGCTCTTTCCCATGAGGTGTGACCCCAAGGCCCAGGAAAGTTGCTCTGGTTTTTCAAATGACTTCACAGCAAGAGTCAGAGAGATGGAGAGTGGTATGGCTGAGCAGCTCTCATCTGGGTCCTTCTTTTGGAGAACACTTTTTTTTTTTTCCCTGGGGGAGACACAAGAAGCAACCGAGCTAGCCGGTCAGCAGGGTGCATTTGGGGGGGTAGACAGAGCTGCCCCAGGAAAGCTAGGAGACAGAAGGAATCTGAAGTGAGGGACTTACTGAGCAAGAGCTTGCTGTTTGCCAGATCACTGTTCATCACTGAGCGTATTACTGCTTTTAGTTCTTTTTTTTTTTTTTAAAGATTTTATTTATTTATTTGACAGAGGGAGCGCGAGAGCGAGAGCAGTAACACAAGCAGGAGGAGTGGGAGAGGGAGAAGCAGGCTTCCCCGCTGAGCAGGGAGCCTGATTCGGGGCTCAATCCC